TTTTCTGCGTCTTTCTAGCAATTCATCCAGGCCAAATATCTTAACGTCTATCTGATCGAACAAATGTCATTTTCTTTCTTTTATTTAATCAGGAGACCAATAAATCTATCCTAGATAATGTTATATGTCAAGCAATATTTCTCACAGAACGTTGGAGATTTGTTCGATTTCTGAGAGTTTTCTGAGAGTTTTCTGAGAGTTTTTTTAACTACGAGACATTCAGAAATCTTAAGAATCAGTGATAAATTTTTGGGGGCATTTCCTCAAGAAAATGATTTTCATCCATGGTGTTTAAAAGACTGTTAGAAATCTAGATAATTTTTAATGAGTTTTATAATAGTTACATATTTTGGGGAAGGTCCTCTAGAAAATAGCCCTGGACCATGTTAGAAAGTTAGTTAATTTAAAGAGAGTAGAAATGAATTACCTTTAGGTACCCCGACTGTTGTTCCCATTATAAAATCAGTATGAAAAGTTTGACAATACATTCTAATAAGTTGTTTGACTGAGGTGACTAGACCATCAACACTTTCTTCAAACTCTTCTATCACAGAACATCTTATTGCAGCACTGAAAATATAGTTTTCATACAAAATCAACATTTCAAAATCAAATCTGATAAATGGTTTATTATTCTGCGTTCGATACCTCTCTTGATTACCGTGTTCACAGGGTTAATGTTGTTAATTTCCATTCGATAGTAGGTTTTTTCGTATTTACTACTTTAGGAAGTCGTGAATATAGAGAAAATTTACGACACCCATTTTCACAATTTCTACGGCCTTCACCTTGACCTCATGGAAAAATGGCTAACATCATTTCGTCGTCCATCTTTAGTTACAAAGTCGTGAATATCGTCCGAACAGTCTCCAGTTTTGCGCATGATTTTCACACTCGAACGTAGCCTGAGTGCCCTCAGACAAAGTCCAAGTTATCTACATGCAACAAATATTCTCCATAGAAGAATATAAATTACAGAAAGTTTGACTATGTCAACTAGGTAATGATGATAATGATGACGTATGTCAACTAGGTAATGATGATAATGATGATGTATGTCAACTAGGTAATGATGATAATGATGATGTATGTCAACCAGGTAATGATGATAATGATGATGTATGTCAACTAGGTAATGATGATAATGATGATGTATGTCAACCAGGTAATGATGATAATGATGATGTATGTCAACTAGGTAATGATGATAATGATGATGTATGTCAACCAGGTAATGATGATAATGATGATGTATGTCAACTAGGTAATGATGATAATGATGATGTATGTCAACCAGGTAATGATGATAATGATGATGTATGTCAACTAGGTAATGATGATAATGATGATGTATGTCAACCAGGTAATGATGATAATGATGATGTATGTCAACTAGGTAATGATGATAATGATGATGTATGTCAACTAGGTAATGATGATAATGATGATGTATGTCAACTAGGTAATGATAATAATGATGATGTATGTCAACTAGGTAATGATAATAATGATGATGTATGTCAACTAGGTAATGATAATATATTATATATTTATTATATTAATACATAAAATTATCTTACTGAATAGCGTCTACTGTATCTCTATCTGTTGACTGACTCATTGGATCGTTCGGCTTCTACAAAAATAATATCAAACATCAATAACCATATTTTATAATGATACTATTTACAATTTTACTCGTAAAATTTTAGTGTTTCAATCATCTGATTGGTCAATCACTAAAATCTGTTTTAAATTTTGTTTTATTATCCAATCAGATAACTGTATTTCATCTGGATTTTATCTTCGTTAAGATTTCGAGAATAAGAAAATTGATCGTAAGCTTTTTTGATGAGTTGAGATTGAAGTTTCCAAAATGGCCAACTTACGTTTAACTGTGAAATAATACTGTTCAGTCTGTCGATAGCTTTGGTTATTTCAGTGGTTTCTATTTTAGCTAAGATAGCACATAGTGCTTTAACAGATTGATGTAACGCTTTACAGTTTACATTCTTTGTCTGACCCTGGAAATAGAATTAACAAAAAAATTCAGACATATTAGATCATCTTTCCAAATATATATGGGGTTTAGCAATGGGAAAATGGCACAAACAAAATAATTAATAATTAATAATTAAAGAATTTTAACACAATTTAGATGTGTCATAATCAGATGAAATGAAGGAAAATGGTATTTAAAATGCAGAAAGTGTTCAAAAACATTACTGTATTTTTTAGTGTCTGGGTAAATGTCAGCAAGTTTTCTAGCAAGGTTTGTCGAATAAAAAATGCAAAAAAATCATTGCTTTCAATTATGGACCTCCTACCTATAAAGTCATTGCTTTCAATTATGGACCTCCTACCTGTAAAGTCATTGCTTTCAATTATGGACCTCCTACCTGTAAAGTCTGATCTCTGAGTTTCTCTATTTCTGTATAAAATGTCTCCATCAAAATATCTAAAGATTCTCTGAAAAAAATATTAAAATCTTTATTCCATGTTATAAAACAAAAATAACGAAAAATTAATCAATTTACACCAGTGTCAAAATGTGACCACGCTTTCACAGAACACAAAGGTAAATATAAACACTGCAAAGCAAAGTTACAAGAGTCTCTGAGTAACATCAGTATTAGACAGACCTCCCAGAACCTTCAGATAATGTCACTGGAAATTGGTTTCAGAAGGCAACTATAATAAACATCTCTAAATAAACTGTCTCTAACGTATACAAAAGTTTGACAGACTCCCCAAACCTCTCCAACTTCATTCATTAATGAAGTTAGTCCACTCTAAGAATAAGAATAAGAATAAGAATAAGCCTGTATTATAAAATATATTATTTAAATTCTTACTTAGAAACAGCTTCATCATCTGTTTTAATATATTCTTTAGGAAAATACAACATCTGTACATCATCATCTACCTAAATAAATTAGACCAATAT